AAGATCATCGACATAGAGAGCGGAGAAGACACCAGAAGGAAGAGAGGAAAGAAGACCATTGAGGGCAACCAGAAAAAGAGTAGTGCTCAGAACACTACCCTGGGGCACACCTTCGTATTGCTGAAAAGGGGGAGAGAGAGCGGTACCAAGGCGCACCCGAAAGGAACGACGAGAGAGGAAGCTGCGGAGAAAGAGAGGGAGATGACCACGAAGGCCAAAAGAATGAAGTTGAGATAGGATATGATAACGCCAAGTGGTGTCGTAAGCCTTTTCTAGGTCAAAAAGGACGGCAACAACGGAGGTCTTCGCAGCAAAAGCAGTACGTATATAGACCTCCAAGTTCACCAGGACATCTGTCGTGCTGCGGCACTTGCGGAAACCAAATTGAGAAGGGGAGAGGAGGTGATGGTGTTCCAGGAACCACATCAGACGAACGTTAACCATACGTTCAAAGAGTTTGCAGACACAACTTGTGAGAGCAATAGGGCGAAAGTCCTTAGGGGAAGTACCCAGAGACCCTGGTTTGCGAACAGGGAGGACAACGGCATCGAGCCAGTCCTCAGGGACTGACGACGACTCCCAGATCCGATTATACAGACTCAGTAAATACTGAGACGTGCTCGGAGGGAGATGGCGAAGCATCTCATAATGAATACCATCGGAGCCCGCCGCCGTAGAACCGCAGAGGGCCAGGGCAGAACGAAGTTCAGAGAGAGAGAAGGGATCATTATAGGGAAGCTGAAGATGAGTGCAGAAATCTAAAGGACGAGACTCAAGGACAGGTTTACGAAGAAGGAAAGATTGGGGAAGATGAAGACCAGAGCTAACAGAAGAAAAGTGGGAACCCAGTTCGGAAGCGACCTGCAACGGGTCCGCCACAAGAGTATCATGGAGGTGAAGGACCGGTGAAACATCGGGAACGAACTTACCCGCTATCTTGCGGATACGCTTCCAGATCTGGGCCAGAGGGGTTTCGGACGTAATTGTCGAGACATAAGATGCCCAACATTCACGTTTAGCCGTACGGATGGCCCTACGGGCCACCGCACTCGCTTTCCGAAAGAAAAGAAAAGAATCGGTCGTCTGCCTACGGCGGTGCTTCTTCCAGGCTGCACGCTTACAGCGGACAGCCCGAGCACAGTCCGCATTCCACCAGGGAACGCACTTCCGTGGACCCCGAGAGGAAGAGCGAGGAATAGAGCGGAGGGCAGCGTCGAAGACAGTGTCATGAAAAAGGAGGAGAGCGCGAGAGAGGGGCAGAAGGGAGAGGTCAGAGAGAGTAGCACTGAGGGAAAACAGGGTCCAGTCCGCCTTAGCAAACTGCCACCTAGGGAAAGAGAGGGAAGGGCGAAAAGAGAAAAAGGAAACAAGGATGGGGAAATGATCACTTCCATGGAGGTCATCAAGAACCTGCCATGTGAAATCTAAGTAAAGAGAAGAAGAGCAGAGAGAAAGATCAAGACAAGAAAGGGTGCGAGTTCGAGAGTCCAAATGAGTGGGCTCACCAGAATTCAGAAGAGACAGGGAAGAAGAGAGGAGAAACGGCTCAAGGAGGCGACCCCGGGTATTCGTCAGAACGTCACCCCAAAGAGAATGACGACAATTGAAGTCACCCAGCAGGAGCACAGGCTCCGGCAAGGAGTCTAGGAGGTGTTTCAAATCAGGAAGAGAGAGCGGGACACTCGGGGGGAGATAAATGGAACAAACTGTGTACCATTTCCCCACAAAGATACGAGCAGCAGAACAATGGAGAGGCGAAGGAAAAAGTAAAGGAACAAAGGGAACATCAGCCCGAATCAAGAGAGCAGAAGAATTAGAAGCCCCAGCAATGGCTGGGGGGGGGGGAGAGAAAGGAATAGCCACGAAAACGACCAGGACGAGCACCAAGCATCGGCTCCTGGAGACAGACACAAAGGGGCGAAAACCGCGAAACCAGAAGTTGGAGTTCGAGGAAATTGGCGTAATAACCTCGAACGTTCCATTGAAGAATGGACAACGACGAGAAGAGAAAGGACAAAAACAGAGAACAAGGAAGAAACAAAGGCGAAAGACCAACAGAGCACGTTAAAGAATATCAGGGTCGGGATCAGGGTCAGCAAAGTCAGGGTTAGGGGGCATGGGTAAACTGAGCAAAGACGGAGGGAAGGAAACGGGAGAACAGATCAGAGGTGGGCGGGCAGGGTCCGGAGGAGGAGGAGGAGGAGGAGGAGGAGGAGGAGACAACGGAGAGGAGCAGTCAAGGACAGCAGCAGGAAGAGGGGGAGTAGAAAGAGAGGAGCGCACCCCAGCAAGAGCAGCAACCGAAAGGGAAGCAGGGGCCAAAGAAACCTCCATAGCAGGAACAGGGGGCGCAAGCACTGAAACGGGAGTGGAAGGAGCAACAGAGCCAGAAGGAGGAGCTGAGGAAGAAAGCGAAGCCTTCTTACCCGCCGGGGAAGAGGAAGGAGAGGAGCCAGGCTTACGCTTCTGACTTAAAGAGACCGGTGTCCCAGCAACTACGTACCGGGCAACGGATTCCAGTGTCTCAACAGGAGAAGCCGAACGAGAGCACACACGACGGCCGTTAGGAGAGCGATGGACATCCGCCCGCACCGACAGGCGGCGGGGAGAGCCGATAGATGGAGGAAGAGGATGGGAAGGAGGATCGGAGGGGGACGAGGAAGGAGACACAGAAGACACGACAGACCGGGTAGAAGGAAGGGGAACCCCAGACAGAGGACCAGGAGGAGGATCCTTCGGGAGAGAACCCAAAGGGACAGAGGAGGGGGCAGTGGGCGCATCAGGGTCCAAGGCCTGGAAACGGTTGTGAGTCTGAGGAAGGCGGGAAGGACGAGGAGAGGAAGAGCGCAACACGCGAGCATAAGAGATATTAGCATAAGGCGGGAGCCGGCGAACCTGGCGCCTCGCCTCAGGAAAAGATAAACGCTCCCGGTGCTTCAAGTTGAGGACGGCTGCCTCAAGCTTGTAATGGACACACGCACGGGAGAAGGTAGGATGGGCCTCACCGCAGTTGAGGCAACGAGCCTGGGGAGAAGCGCACTCCGACTTAGAGTGACCTTCGCCACCACACAAAGGACAGAGAGAGACAGTCCCGGAGCAGCGGAGGGCACCATGCCCAAACCTCCAGCACTTGTTGCAGAGCCGAGGAGAAGGAATGTACTCCTGGACAGAGCACCTGGCACCAGCAAGAATGACAGAGGGTGGAAGGGTCCTACCATCAAAGGTAATCTTCACAACCCGGAGGGGTTGACGGCGACTACCACGAGGGGGACGAGTAAACGTGTCCACCTGGAGAATAGAATGGCCCTGGGCAGCGAGGATATGTCGAATATCGTCGTGGCAGTCGCGTAGGTCCCGAACACCGGTCGCAACATGGGGCGGGAGCAAAATAGTGCCAACACTGGCATTCAACTGGACGTTCTTCGAGACCCGAACGGGGGTCTCGCCAAGGCAGGATAAGGCAGCCAAGCGGGAAGCAGCATCCTGAGAAGGAGCAGCAACGACACGCGTACCGAGACGAGTGGGGTTAAAAGTAATGGAGGCATCCACGGAATCAATGAGATGTCGATGAAGGGAGAAATCGTCAGGAGGCGCAGAATCAAGAGGGAGGAGATCAAAATATTTGGCCCACGAAGCGGGACCAAACAAGGCTTGATAGGTAGCAGAACTGGAAGGAATCGAGCGAGGGCGGCCGTGACGAGAACGGCGGTGAGAACCCCCAGAGAGAGAGGGGTTAAAAGGCGCAGTAGTAACAACTAGAGAAGGAGCCGCGCCAGGGGACGAGGTAGTCACCACTGGGGGCTTGGGGCTCGACCCAACCACAGAGGAGGGAGGGGAGCCAGGGGAAGGAGTCAGAGAGGCCAAAGGAGGAGCAAGGTCGGGGCCCAATGCAGCGGAGGCTACAGAGCCCGGTCTTCCAATACGGACCGACTCGGGGGCTTGGTCGCCCACCCCACGAGCCTGAAAAGGTAAGCCAGAAGCAGCCGAAACAGGGGTTATCATCTTGACGAAATTACGAATTCACTCACGAATGTGCCCCCACACCCACCATGGAGCCACAATTAGAGGCAGGACACCCAACAAGAAGCTATCGCCGATCTTGTCGGGGCCTCCTAGGGGTGCGTCGTGAGTATACGCCCCACAAACGCCACCTTAAGAAACCGACAGTCCGTCGAGATCGGGTTCAGTGACGAAGTGGGGATTGACAATAAAAGGTTCCCCTCGCTCTCGACGTCGGGTACTGCAGTTCTACGGGTGCAAGAGTATGCCTCCTCAAGCACCCGGGCGTCAAAGTAGAAGAAGTCCAAGGGAAGAACCAGAACGAGCAAAAGGTCGGCAGGAAACGGCAAGCAGATAGGAGAAGAGGGGGGAGAAAAACGAAACAGAAGGAAAAGGAAAAGATGCCCAGCAGAATTGGAGAGGACGGCAGCAGGAGCACAAGGCTAGAAAAGGACAGAGGACTGTCCCAAGGAGCATCACACTCCGGCAGCCGCCCACTAAGCCCCCAGACGGCGACAACGAGCTGAGCGGGGAGGGGGGGCCAGGATACGAACCCATGACAAAGCGCTCGCGGAATGCCAGGCAAGTGTCTTACAACTACACCACGGAGACTGGTACATTTTTATCCTATAATGTTTATTTAAATTTAATAATAAATACTACTGCTTGAAGGCTGCAGAAAGCAACAACAACCTGGTTCACGATAGTTGCTTGGGAACCCGCCAGAAGCCGAGTTGCATATATTTAGGAGATGAGATAATTTACATTATCAGTTATTCTATACCATGTAAATAGAAAACTGTACATACACTCTACTACACATTTTCTGTTATCTTGAATGTCCAGATATTAAACATTATAGTAGTGTACCGTAACCAGGGCAACCAGTAGGCCTGGTCGACGACCGGGCCGCGGGGACGCTAAGCCCCGGAAGCACCTCAAGGTAACCGTGAACAATGAGGTAACATAACTTATATAATTTAACTTTTAAATTGAGTGCTGAATTTTGTACCACCTCAAAGTTCGACCAAAAGTTTACATTTTCCATCAGAGCTTACTTGAGTTACAGCACATAGAGAGAGCTGCTTGATTGTTCCCATCAAGCCAAGACAGTGAAGGTAAGCCATCAGCAAAGCTGGAGCAAATAGTAAGATGTTCATCTTGATAGATACGGCCAAACTGAAAAGGAAATTAAACTTTTCATGTATTCGTTAATCGAACCTTTCATGCAAATTGATCCTTTAATATAAATTTAACCTTTTATGCAAGCAAAATAATTTAAAAGAGAATATTAGTAAGAATAAAATAAAATATAGGTGAAGGCAGACTGGACATGGATATATAGTATAGTGAAGGCACATACATCAACTGATCCAGCTCGTGCACACTGAATTTTATAATACTGTAATAATAATGTTTATTTAGGGAAAATACATACAAAATGAGATACAAGTAGAATGTTGGATATTTAGATAAAGCAAGTATATACTATGCCTAAAGCCACTAATACGCACAGCGTTTTGGGCATGCAGTGTTTTCTATTCTAAACCTGTGCAGATACTTCTCTCTATAATCTGAGCTTTCTATACATACATACATATTTTTGCATCCCATCCTCTAATTTGTATATAGTATACATGTACAGCATGTAATACATATGTATGACAGGTAATGACCTTTCCAAACAATAAACAAAAACAAAACACACTTGTGCAGGCTTGATATTCAAAGCACTCAGTTTAGAGGCTGGGTTAATTAAGGTATTTTTACAGTAAAGCTTGGAAGCGAATGAAGCTTATTTCACGTCATTTAATTCAAATGCAATTAGGCTGAAAAAGTACAAAATACAGTACAGTATAACTCTTCTTTAGCTAAGGCTTAACAGATATTTGTGTAAACACATGGTAAACCAGACTAAGAGAATGGGTTAAAGTTTGAGCATTAAAGATAAAAACCTACAAATACTGGTAAGTAACATTTGCTTTCAGGCATAAAAGCTAAAGGTGTTAAAAGGGGCCATAAGTATTTCAAGAGCAGGTGCAGTGAAAGATGAAATCTAAAAGCCTATATGGAACAAATATATTATACAGGTATATATATATATATTTTTTATTTTTTATTTATATATACAAGAGTTCTTACATTCTTGTAAAGCCTCTAGCACATATAACATTTCGGGTAGGTCCTTAATCTTAATTTTACCCGGAATACAACCCGCCAAATCATTTAACAACCATGTACCTATTCACTGCTGGGTGAACAGGGGCTACAGTTAAGGATTGGCACCCAGTCAATCCTCCCCAGCCAGGCTATCAACCCAGGACAAATTGCTTGTGAAGCGCGGGGCGCGTATTTTACCACTGCGCCACAGAGACTGGATGCTTCTCTTTATAATCTGAGCCACAGGGACGTTCTCACTCACATTATGACATTCTGTTTTCTGTGATTATAACTATGCTATAGGATACAGGGAGCAAAGAAACAGGTGAACATTAAAAGTCCAAAAGAATTAAAGTAAAAATAAGAATAATCACATGGGCAACATACGAGTAGCAAGAAAACACAGCGGTATTAAATAGGCTAAATATGTAAAATGAACATTTGATGAAAGTAATACAGTAAGTGACATTTTGTGATACAGTATAACAATGACAAGAACATCTATGCTCCAAGGAGGCATACACACACACACACAACATTCCACACGGACCGGTTAGTGCCTGAGATTATCAGGTCATGTTTATCAATTAGTTTAATTTCAACATAATAAAGCAACAATTGACACATAACTCATGCTATGCAAAACAAATGCTCTTTTCTTTCAGCAAATGTTATTACTAATCAATCAATCACGTTAAAAAGCCAGAGTTGAATGTAATGAAACGGCATTTTCTGGGCGAGCCCCGGAGGCTCCCTGGAGCTAACGGACTGATATAGGCTATATTAGTCTGGGGCATCAGTCAACTGGAGTTCAGCCTACTGGGGACCACGAACCAGAACCTGGCTCCCTCAGAAAGGCACAGGGAGCAATGGCCTATAGAAACCCCCATGTGTTTGGGAGCATTCCATGTCTGCCATCAACCGGGGTTAGGCAACCACAAATGTAGGCATAACAAAACAGACCCCACTTGGTAAAAAAATTGCAACTGAAGACTGAACAGAAAGGCAGATTTCCCCAACCCAATGAAACAAGCAAATGTCATACATCGCCATTGCGCCGCTTGTCCATGCAGTCCTCCCCTTCCCGGGAGGAGGAGAGGGGAGCCCCGGACCCCCATGTGCTGGCTACTCACACCTCCAGTTCTGAGGCCGAGCATCAAAAAACGGAAACCGCCGACCGGAGGGAGGGAGGGTGCCAGGGAGCCTCTGGGGCTCACATAGAAAATGGCTTTTCTGGTTTTCTGTGGGAAGCTCCTTTGGCTCCCTGGAGCTACCTAACCAAAGACTTATGAAGAAAAAAAGCGACTTACCCGGAAGGCGGCCACAATGCGCTCATCAACTTGAAATTGAGACAACTGGCTGCAACCTGCGACCCAAAGCCACACACGAACGACCGGGACCAGGAATATTAACCCGATAACGGGCGGCCACGACCCTGTTTGACCTCCAAAACCCCCATTCCTGAATGTTAACCCAAGACATGTTGCCGAACACGGCAGCCAAAGCAGCAAACTTACGAACACCATGGGTACGAGGATAGACTGCAGGCTGGCTAGACTGAATAACCCTGTGTAAATTGTCACCCCTGAGACAAGGGCACAGGGCAATCTTCAAACTTGCACAAGGTGAGGTGGAACTGAGAAGACACATCCATCGGTCAACCGAGCCCCGATGGGGTTTTCCAGGGGCCCATAGGTTGTCTGCTAAGGGAAGCCCAGGCAAGGTACTGCTAAGCCAGTTAACCCAAAAGCAACAAAGGGGATGAGTTAAAAATGAGCCCCTGTGACATGTACAAGCACAGAAGACTAGAGGAGGACCACCAATATACCCTAAGTGGACTAATAGCTAAACAAGGCAGACCCCCTCCTGGCAAGAAAAACAAACATAAAAGAAAACCCCCGCAATAGTGCAACATCATCAGAAGGAACAGGAACACGGCCATTGCGTAATTAGGCGAATAGTGCAGCACCTTGCGCTCCAACCAGCAACAATACCACTTCCTACCCAAGGCCAGACAAAGGCCAGCCCCAGCTAGCCCAACCCCCAACAAACAAAGGAAAACCCCAGCTAGCCCCAAGGGCAGGGTAAATGCCAAGCAGCAAGAACCCCTACGGAAGTGGAGTCCCAGAAGCCCTATAGAAGGTAACCCTAAAACCCAAGGGTAGTACTTACAGGGCACTTAGGGAAGGCAGCCCTAAGCACATGCAGCCCTAGTACACTTAATTTTACCTGGCCACCACACCACAAACAGCAGGAAACATCACCAAGGCCCAAATACTGCCAAGAAATTGAGGCCAAATTCGACTACCGCCCCAGAGCGCAACAGCCTACGAACTGGAGGTGTGAGTTGCCAGTGTGGGGAGGGCTGTGAGGAGGGTCCGGGGGAAAGGAGGGCTGTGCAGACAAGCAATGTGGTGGCAGTGTATGATGTTTGCTTGTTTCATTGGGTTGGGGGGAGTTCTGCCTCTTTGTTCGGTCTTCGGTTGCAATTTTCTTACCATCTGAGGTCTGTTTTGTAATGCCTACCTTTCTGGGTGCTTAACCTCGGTCAATGGCAGACATGGAATGCTCCCAAACACATGGGGGTTTCCATAGGTCATTGCTCCCAGTGCCTCTCTGAGGGGGGGGGGGCAGGTTCTGGCTTGTGGTCCCCAATAGGCTGAACTCCAATTGACTGATGTCCCAGAATAATATTGCATATATCAGTCCGATAGCTCCAGGGAGCCGAAGGGGCTCCCCAAAGAAAATAAATGAAATAAGGCATCCCAACAAATTCCTATTACAATTTGACTTACCTGTAAATGAAGCTTCCCAGAGTCCAATAGCCATCTATAAAGAGATTCATGGCACCATAGAGCAACATTATAGCCACGGGGTCGTTAAACAAGCGCAGCACAAAGATGGAGTGGACTCGATACGAGGTGCAGCACACAAAAACCAGCATGTATGGTGGCAGCTGCCAAGGAAAACATTAATAAAGGACATTTGTAATAAATATACATACTGTATCAGAGATGCAATATAACAAATCTAAGACTAAACTCTTCCACTGTATTAATTACAAAATAAGGAGTACAGAACTGCACGTACCTTTCTGCTTCTGTGAAAGATCCTGAAAACTAGCATCAACGTAATGATATAAAACACAGTAAAGATATACTGTGCCAGACGAATGTTGGTTCCCTTGTTTGTGAGATGATACAGTCCAGTAAACAAGTAGACAAAACCTGTAAAACAGGTGGTAGTTAGTTACCATCAAAATGATCTCTCATATGCTGTATCTATCTCCTGATTAATGTCAAGATGAATATGTAACACTTCACACATTCCATTTAATCACTTACACAACATAAAGAGAACATGTTCCACAAAACATGTTCCATCATTGCCTCTCCAATCTCTATCAGGTTTCATTTCCATCAAACTCAATGTTTTCATTAGACTGCCAAATCTTAATTCCTCTCATAAAACCTTTTCTCCAAATAACTAATCAATATCATTTGTGGGGATATGGGTCTTGGTATTCAGTTGGATTTATTCTTACTCAGAATAGGAAATCCTGGGTTCGAATCCCAGGCGGGACAGAAATGATTGGCACGTTTCCTATTACCTAATATCTCTGTTCACCTAGCACTAAATAGGTACCCCAGGAGTTAGTCAACTGTTGTGGGGTTACATCCTGGGGAGGGTAAGTAGTTTGACCTTGGGGAACCCTGATATAAGCCTATATATACACACAGGCTGCCTGTCACCAACAAAATGAGTTATAATTATTATTATTATTATTAATTATTACTACTATTATTTTGGTGCGAACTATATCCCAATAAATAAAACAGGACAAAGGAAAAAATATTTTATACAAATACAGTAAACGTCAATATTATGAAAGTAGTAGTACAGTATTGTAATACCAATAACTTCTTTAAGAATAATCAGTCATATCCAGCTTATTCTAACACATAATCAATAATGATTGACTCATATGAGATACCTTTGAGCAAGGTGAGTGTTGCTCAAGTTGTCACTTATATACTCTTGACAAAACATAGCTGTCTAACCATTATAACAAAAACAGTTAAAAGAACAAACCAATTGGGTTATAATAGAATAAGAAATAGTAAATAAGCTAATAATCAAATACTGTACACACTGTATACAGGTACATGGGAAAAGCACCTGCACCAAATATAAAGCTATACATCTAAGACCAATGAGAGGTTCACATTACCAGCTGGGTAAACAAGAGGTCCAGTGTCTCCACGTAGCTTAGTGTAGTCCCACGTACCATTCACCACTCCCTCTACCTCCTGCATATATGCAATCCAGTCTATTTCTGTGTCTGTAACAAATAACATGAATTAAAGTTTTCAAATTTTTCAATTTGTTTAACAGGTGAACAATGTTGAATAACGAAAGATTTCCACATGACATTTTAAGACGTCACAAAAATATTTGTTCCCTTTAAGCAGAATTATCTTATCAATTTTGAAGTCATGAGAATGAATTCGAGACATACAGTAAGCATATGGTGCAACACAACCATACTCATCCTCACTATACTTACATTTAACTTTCTGGATAATCATCATGTTAAGAACAATCTCTGCCAACAAAAACACAACTGCTGATAACCAAAAATATTTAGGATCAACAATGAGACGAAGAATGAAGTCCTTCCTCATGTATTCCTGCCGAAGGCGATTCATTTTTTCGAAGAATGAAGAACGTTTCTTTTTCTGCTTCTTCTCTAATGGAGGCATATTGCAATCTGAAAAGTTAAATGTTTAATATGATTTGCAATACTGTACCAGTAGTGCAGAGAGGAATGAGATTTAAACTCAAATGAGAAATTACTGGAAACCTAAACCGATTAAAATATAAACCCTTTGGGGTTGCCAGAAACACCGTGCGTTTTATTGGCTTTAGGCATTGTATGTACTAGCTCTATCTAGAAATCCAACATCATGTTTGTAACTCATCTTGTATGTATGTACTTTTACCTGAATAAACATTTAATTGATTTGATTTGATTTTGATAAACTATGCTTGAATGCATAATTTTTACAATACTGTACATATGTACATGCATATTTCATCCACCTGGACCCATGGAGAGTAAAACCATAATTTCTAAAAGGTGGCAGGCTAAGGTTTTACCACTGGATCATAGTAACCAAACAGGAAGGTGCACATGGCTCCAACTCTGTAACCCAATTGGTCTTTTAACCTTCCCAGGGGCCAATGTAAGGTAGTCAATAACACTGGTATTCCATCCTCACATCTAATTAATATCAGTTATAAACCACCCTAATGTGTGAATACAAAATTTATCATCCTGTACCCTTGAGAAATTTATCTCACCAATCACTGTACAGTGTACTATAAGAGTGTAATTACAGTACAACAATATTATTAATTCAACAGTAACTACTGAACACCATAGATTAAGATAAAATTTGCAATTTGCATCAACCAAGAAACTGAGACCAATGCCTTACCTACCTTGAGGTTACCTTGAGGTGCTTCCAGGGCTTAGCGTCCCCGCGGCCCCGGTCGGCCCGGCCCTAGTAGACTAAAATCTACTATGGGTGGAACAAAGGTGAAAAGAAGCAACATACAGGTCATACCTCTCAGGAGGGAAGTGGATGAAAGGAGAACAAGCCCATGGTTTAACAGTGCAAAGTCATCAGTAAGGTAATTATCAGGCGAAAGCACCAAGCCATTATAAGAACATAAGAATAAAGGTAACTGCAGAAGACCTATTGGCCCATACGAGGCAGCTCCTATTTATAACCACCCAATCCCACTCATATACATGTCCAACCCATGCTTGAAACAATAGAGGGACCCCACCACCACCACGTTACGCGGTAATTGGTTCCACAAAAACCAATATGATGGCATAACTTACTTTCTGTACATCTATCTTAGTAATAGTATTAAATTCATGCAACACATGAATATTGTGAGTCATTTTTACCACCCATAAGGTTATAAACTCGTGTACCTGCCTACCTGAGAGTACGGCAACTGCTGTGGGGTCGCCTCCTGAGGAAGGCAGTAGTTGGCCCTCAGGGCTGACCTCAAGACCAGCCTAACGTATATACATACACATGCTGCCTGTCTCCCGACAAAAACGAATTATTATTGCCTTAATTTTATCCCTACACCAACTTTCCAGGTGACCAATACTCACCACCTTACTGTACGCCGGGTCTATAATACATAAACACGCGCACGACACAAGAACCTCCTCAGGGAGACACTCACCGGCTCCAAGACGCCCTACAGCCTCAGTTATAAACAATCAAGACCCAACAGCTTGTTCATTAGTGTTATAATACTGAGCCCGGCCGTGTTGATAGCCGCAGGTCACTTCGTACACACGACGCCTCGTATACAAACTTTCCTCACTCCTCGTACCCACAAGCTGGTACGTTCGTACACAGACCTTGTTGATGAGATTGGGATAGAGGCAGCTACAGCACCGGCCCGTATAATTTATTTTAATTGTGGGATGGGGGGGGGGGGGGGGTAAAAATAGCCTAAGCTACTCTATCCCTTTGAGATGTATTTCTTGCTTATCTCAAAAAACATACTTGAAATGTCGGGAACTTGTTACATTTACGCAACTCCCTCCCCCGATTTAAATCTCTTCGTTTTCTTTTAAGACACTATTTTTTTTTTTTTTTTTTTTTTTTTTGAGATATATACAAGAGTTGTTACATTCTTGTACAGCCACTAGTACGCGTAGCGTTTCGGGCAAGTCCTTAATCCTATGGTCCCTGGAATACGATCCCCTGCCGCGAAGAATCGTTTTTTCATCCAAGTACACATTTTACTGTTGTGTTAAACAGAGGCTACAGTTAAGGAATTGCGCCCAGTAAATCCTCCCCGGCCAGGATACGAACCCATGACATAGCGCTCGCGGAACGCCAGGCGAGTGTCTTACCACTACACCACGGAGACTGTAATTTATGTAATTATGTATGTAATTAATAAACCACACTCAGAATTTTAGGATGAAGTTTAAATATTAATTTGCAATACACAAGTTTTAAATATCAGGAATTTCTCTATCAGATTTATTAAACAATATAGATTTTATACAAAATTTCAAAATATCCTGAGTTACTTTACAATTTATTGATATATTTTAGTTTTGTTTTATTAGTTTTATAAAACTGTAATATCAATATACCTATAGGTTAAGTACTAATTGTAATTAAGAAGCAATCAAATTATTATCTTCAAAAACTAAGACGGTTAGGTAAGGTTGTGGTTTTCTATTCAGTTTTTCAGGTAAACTTAAATATTCACAATATATTTGACAATAGGATTTAATACTAAGTGAAAATAAGTACAATTCCTAACTGCTATGAATAGTACATAATTGCACTTAATTGTCTTCTTACATTTACCACCCCACTTTTGGAGGGCGGGCTGCTTCATTAGTATGTGTAACTCCTCTCCTTACAATTTAATTACTCTTATGTTATTGGTACACACATTCTTTTGAATACAAAAATTATTATTATTTACCAAGACCCAACTAATTGGACTAGTCGGAACAGTGATGGCTTCGCTTATTGCGGGTCGGTGTTCGATCCCCGATGGTGCAAGTGGCTGAGCCATGTTCTTTCCCACCTTCTTATCCCAAATCTTTCTCAATATCCTTTCTAAGTTCTATGTAGTCATACTGGCTTAGTGCTTTATCCTCAATTATCTTACCTTGAGACAACCAAAAGGAATTTGATTATGCACTAAAAAAGTAAACCTAACCAACCATAGAGTATACCACCTTGGAGATATGTTGACCAGACCACACATTACAAGGTGAAGGGACGACGACGTTTCGGTCCGTCCTGGACCATTCTCAAGTCGATTGTGGCTTGAGAATCGACTTGATTCGATTGATGAATGATGAATGCAGTCTCCGTGGTGTAGTGGTAAGACACTCGCCTGGCGTTCCGCGAGCGCTATGTCATGGGTTCGTATCCTGGCCGGGGAGGATTTACTGGGCGCAATTCCTTAACTGTAGCCTCTGTTTAACGCAACAGTAAAATGTGTACTTGGATGAAAAAACGATTCTTCGCGGCAGGGGATCGTATTCCAGGGACCATAGGATTAAGGACTTGCCCGAAACGCTACGCGTACTAGTGGCTGTACAAGAATGTAACAACTCTTGTATATATCTCAAAAAAAAAAAAAAAAAAAAAAAAAAAAAAAAAAAAAAAAAAAAAAAAAAAAAAAAAAAAAAAAAAAAAAATTCTCACAATCGACTTGAGAATGGTCCAGGACGGACCGAAACGTCGTCGTCCCTTCACCTTCTAATGTGTGGTCTGGTCAACATTCTTCAGCCACGTTATTGTGACTCATCGCCTGTATACCACCTTGGAAGTCCTTGTAGGTGCTACATCAGTCGACCTCCTGCCCCAGGCTGACCTGTGAGACCATCCACCACCTCTCCCATCCCAAGAGTTATTCAACAGTGGGTACTAACACCATAGAGTTTATTCACTCAACTTGAATGTGTCAATTTGTAACATCACGTAGGTAGTTCTTGACACACTCTGTACTCCCCTTCATATAGTCTGACACACTCTGTACTCCCCTTTGTAACGTATGGTTATGTTACGTTGTTGGGTTGATTAGAACTGCCTACACCGAGTACTACATTCTTGACTGGAGATTGTACTGTCCTCCATTGTTTCCGGGCTGCGGGAAATGCACCTCACGACACTAGAAGACAGAAGAGTAAGGGGAGATATGAACACTACCTACAAAATTCTCAGAGGAATTGACAAGGTAGATAAAGATAAACTGTTTAACTCGGATGGTACGCGAAATAGGGGACACAGGTGGAAACTGAGTATCCAAATGAGCCACAGGGACATTAGAAAGAACTTTTTCAGCGTAAGAGTAGTTAACAGATGGAATGCATTAGGCAGTGATGTGGTGGAGGCTGACTCCATACACAGTTTCAAATGTAAATATGATAGAGCCCAGTAGGCTCAGGAACCTGTACACCTGTTGATTGATAGCTGAGAGGCGGGACCAAAGAGCCAGAGCTCAACCCCCGCAAGCACAATAAGGTGAGTACACACACACACACACACACGTGAAAGACCTGACTTCACCCCCACACACACATGTTAACGACCTGGCTTCACCCCCCCCCCACACACACACAGCACTTCCCGCCACACACCGGCCAAGCACGCTGCCCCCCTCCTCCCCCTCCAAGTGAGCCCGTCGCCAACTGCTCGTTAAGGCGAAGGTAAAGTTAATTGCGGTCACAAGGGCAAGTGGCAGGCTGGCAGCCAAGACGGGGCTCGTGTATTTACGAACTGTCGTTGGCCAGGACGTAGCAGGGGGGGGGAGGTGGAGGGAGAGAATTTATATTTTTCTGTGTATGTTTTATGCTTGTGAGAGGGGAGGGGGGGGGTTGTGAGAGGGGAGGGGGGGGGTTGTTAGAGGGGAGGGGGGGGTTGTGAGAGGGGAGGGGGGGTGTGGAATGAGGGGGCAGGAAGTGTTTGTTGACGTTTTCCTTCTTGCCACAAATTAACTTTTTAGATAATCAACTATATAGATATTAAACTAGTGCCAAGATTGCGTATGCTGTGACTGTTAGGCCGCGACACTGCCACAGTTGTGAAGAACAACCCCAACAACCCCAGCTGACAACAGGAAAGGTGTGATCAGGTCGCTGCGTACATGGTCAGCTCTGCACAAGTTATATAGCAAACGCCTAGGCTTACACCAACTTTTATTAACAACCTGAATAAATATGTACTGACGCTCGGCCGTTCATCTGCCGCTTAGGATTTGTTTATGAGGTGATGTGTTGTGAAGAGACGGTGTTGTTTATCAGCTGATGTGTTGTGTGGAGACAGGTGTTGTTTATCAGCTGATGTGTTTATCAGCTGATGTGTTGTGAAGAGACAGTGTTGTTTATCAGCTGATGTGTTTATCAGCTGATGTGTTGTGAAGAGACAGTGTTGTTTATCAGCTGATGTGTTTATCAGCTGATGTGTTGTGAAGAGACAGTGTTGTTTATCAGCTGATGTGTTGTGAAGAGACAGTGTTGTTTATCAGCTGATGTGTTTATCAGCTGATGTGTTGTGAAGAGACAGTGTTGTTTATCAGCTGATGTGTTGTGAAGAGACAGTGTTGTTTATCAGCTGATGTGTTGTGAAGAGACAGTGTTGTTTATCAGCTGATGTGTTGTGAAGAGACAGTGTTGTTTATCAGCTGATGTGTTGTGAAGAGACAGTGTTGTTTATCAGCTGATGTGTTGTGAAGAGACAGTGTTGTTTATCAGCTGATGTGTTTATCAGGTGATGTGTTGTGAGGAGACGTGTGTTGTTTATCAGGTCATGTGTTGTGAGGAGACGGGGTCCTTGATTCTGTTGATGGACAACAGGGGGGACAACTCTCAGAGAGTGAGAATACTTTCCCTCCGAGGTTGAGAATACCTCCCTCGAAGGTCGGCCTCCTGTCCCTGACAATGGCCACCCATAGTTATTCGGGACAAAAATAGATATACACACATTCATGTTCCGTTGTTGTAACTTCTCCCGACCTCCCCCCCCCCCCCCCCCTCTCTTTTCTCTCTCTCTCTCTCTCTCTCTCTCTCTCTCTCTCTCTCTCTCTCTCTCTCTCTCTCTCTCTCTCTCTCTCTCTCTCTCTCTCAACGTAATATATCCAAATTGTTCATGGCATACTCAATTTATCCGAGCAATAGGCGTAGTGTGGCTCTAGTTCCTAGGCCCTGCCTTTAACGGTTATAATATTTTGGTTTGTTATACATATTCGTAGCTTTCTCGTATCTTTCATGATCTGATAGTCATTTGTTTACGTTTTTATGACGAAACGTCTATTTTAAATCAGAAGGGTTCTGTGATGAGCAAGGAAGATTCCATATCACAGATATGTCGGTGTCAGAGATATACGCAGGTTGGTCAGAGTAGTGACGATATGCTGACCAAATCACACATCAGAAAATGAAGTAACGACGACATTTTGGTCCATCATGAACTTGATACAGGTCCAGACTGAAGCTCCATTTCTTCATTTTCTGACGTGTGGTCTGGTCATCATGGGCCAGATTCACGAAGCAGTTACCCAAGCACTTACGAACCTGTCCATCTTTTCTCAATCTTTGGCGGCTTTATTTCCAATTATTAAACAGTTAATGAGCGCGGAAGCACCAGGAGGCTGTTTATAACAATAACAGTTGATTGGCAAGTTTTCATGCTTGTAAACTGTTTTTATAAATGTAACCAAAGCCCTCAAAGATTGGGGAAGATGTACACGTTCGTTAGTGCTTGCGTAAGTGCTTTCGTGAATCTGGCCCCATATCTTCAGCCACGTTATTGTGACACTTCGTCTGCA